TTAAGAGCCCATCTAAAAAACAGCAAGAATAAACAATTAATTGACAATATAAAGGACTCATTATCATTATTGGACAGAAAATGTATAATGTTTCAAACCTGAGAATATACAAAGATGATTATTCACTCAATTTTAAGGCAGTGACCCTTTGAACAGGGTACAGATCATTACTCATTTGTCAAATTGTTTTAAAATGTTGCTGTGCTCATCATGTATGCTTGTATTTGTATTAATTCATGGAGTCCATTGTTCACCAACAATATGTCAGGCACTGTGCTAGGTGCTGAGAATGAGATAAAACCATTTCCACTCTCAAGATGCCCACAGACTAGTGAGGGAAACAAACTATTGATTACATTATAAAATGATAAATACTTTAATGACATATGATCTGAATGTTAGGGGAGCAAGAAGATAGTCATTTCAGTGTGGGAGGCAGATAAGGGTGTCATGGAGAGCTTCCTAGGGGAGGTGTGGCCTGAGCTGATTATTGGAGGGAAAATAAATGATTTTCTGAAAAGATGGAGTATGTCTGTGCATGTGAGTATGAAAGAATATGGCATATTTGTGGCATAGGCTGTGTGGTGAGCTGCCACTAAGTTAACATACCTGAAATTCAGAGTGTATATAAGACTATTAAAAATGCCCTTATCTTTTTTCTGTACCCTTCTCATATTCTTTTCCCCTTTCCCATTCTTTTTTATCCTCTTTCCCCTTCTTTTAGGTTACTTGGGCCAGACGTTCTGCAGCTTGCTAATGGTAGAACTAAAATCAAAGCCCTGACTCATCTCCGAGTCCAGAGTCTTTACTCCTGCTATGCACGTGGAAGATTTTTCTCTCTCTTGTCATTATTTTCCTAGAATTTTTGTGAGGGAGACCTTGTCAGGTTGTTTGCTTTCCTAAGCTAATTTTGATCGTTGAATTTAGATATATGGGGCAATAGGATGGATACAAGGAGGGGAAGATGTGTTCCATTTCAATTCAGTGAAATATACATTTATTGAATGTAATTGAACATAAATCATTGTATCAGGTATTATTGAAAATACAAAACAGGAAATGTTTCCTATTCTTAAGCAGTTTGCAATCTAATACAGGAAATATACTTCCAGAAGGATATCTAATGTGAGATGGCTCATCTAACAGCTATCTGTTAAGCTTAGCACTAGGGCAGCGTTTCTCAACTTTTATTTTTTTAATTATCAGCTCCTAAAGAATCTTTTTAGACCTTTTAATCCTAATTACCTTCCCCCCATGACATTTTAATGCCACAGAATACTGTAATCTATGTACTGTATGTATATAAAAAGTACTTTTTTTTCCACACACCCTGAGAACCAGTTTTGCCCCCTTGGGGAGACATTATTGCCATGTAGAGAAGGTATGCACCAGGCAAAGCTATTGCTTTCAAAGTCTAAGATGGACAGTCAAATTCTAGTTTCAGAATGTTGTTAAATACCTACCAAAGATTAAATATAATTTAAAAATTAAATTTCCTGAGTTAAAAATAAAACTCAGCATTGGATCTAAAAATAAAATAATTGCATATATTCATACTTGTGTGGCTGAGCTTAGGGCTACCCCATTGTAGCCAGGGCAGTATATTTACAATATAGTCTGTGTGTTGGGACTGGAAGGAGAGAATGGAAAATAATTGAAAGCTATAACCATGATATGGTTGAAAAAGAAGCTCAAGTTCATAAATCATTTCAATATCAGCCCATTCTAATCATCTTCAACTCTTCCTGACGTGCCTATCTTATACAGAACTGTTTGTCCTCTGCAATATGTAATCATTTCTCTGTGAATGCTAAATCCATTCACATGTTAATTTATATACAGTCCAGCAGTGTACACCAGTGTACACACATTCATTTTAGACCTCAGTCTAGAACTAAGAACACAGATGCCGTGCTAATTTTTATCCCATATATTCTTTACAAATCCATTTATAGAGCTGAAATATCCACTCCAGGACAAAATTGGATTCTCCTGACTTATGTATCAAGGAACTAGCGAAGAACTGGAAGCCTTGGTTCAAGAGCTTGTGAAGAGCCAAATCCTGCTAACCAGGTGAGTGAGCTTGGATGTGAAGCTTCCTGCAGTCACACATTCTGGTGAGATTGCAGCCTGGGCCAACCCCTCGCTTCATCCTTGTGAGAAATGCTGAGACAGAGGACCCTGTAAGCCACACCCAGTATCCAACCCACAGGTACTCTGAGATAATAAATGTTCATTGTCTTAAATTGAATTCTCATCCACTCTAACTAAAAGATCTTTTACAAGTTCAATTGGTGCCAGAATAAGTTATTAGATTCTACATAGAATTCAGCACTTCATCATAGGCATCATCAGGCTTGTATAATATGTCTTCTCTCTGAGTTGGCACGTTGCTTGAAAGCAGAGACTATTGTTGTCATGTTTATTACTGTAGGCAATATATATACCTAAAAATAAAATAATTGTGTATACTCATGCTTGTGTGAATATATATATTCACATAATACATACAGACTATATATATATAACACAGTTTTCAATTCTTAGGAGGCATACAATAAATAGGGTAAAGATCTAATTTAAATTGTTTCCCCAGGCATTTTTTCTACCAAGTTAGGTCCTTAGCCTATATCATATATCAAAATAAAAACCAGGTAAATTAAATATTTAAGCATAAGGAAAGAAAGCATAAAATTGATAGAGGAAATACTGATGAATATTTGAATATCAATATTGATTGAATATCAGTCTTGATAAGGGAAAAGCCTTATCAAGAATAGTAGCAATGGCAATATCTGTAAAACAAAATGTTCACAGATACGGCTACATAATTGAAGCTTTTTCCTGTAAAAACACCATAAATAAAAGACTGAGACAAACTGAGAGAAATATCTACAACCTATATGACAAAAGGTATTTAATGTATAAAAATTTCACATGAATTACTAAGAAATATAATACCCCTAATAAGTGTATTTAGGGGGTGGACATAAACTGAAACATGAATGGCCAATAAATGGCCAAAAAAGGTCGTTTATTAGTAAACTAAATAGAAATTAATAATAATATGCCACTTTTATAAATTCTCTACCTGTCAAAATGGTATAGAGAATTTATAAAATCCTAATCGTTTTGATGAGAGAGAAGCAGGAACAGAATGACGACTTGTAGGAGTACAAATCGGTACAGCTTTTCTAGTAGGCAATTTGTAAGCAAGAAAAGCATTAAAACGAGCATACCTTTGACCTAGCAATATTTCCTTTAGTAACTTATGTTAAGGAAATTTATATCAAAATCTGGCTGCAAAAATGTTCAGGGAATGAACTGGTTAAGCAAATTATAATCGAAAATAGAAAACTACACTACTATTTAAAATGATATTGTATAAAAATATGAATTTATCTGAAAAGATGGTCATGATATGTGGCTAAATGGGGAGGAATGGCAGTTCAAAAGCCCTTTTACATGATAGAGGATGGTCCTATGCTGTGTACGTGCACTTGTATGAGCAGAAAGAAAGCAAGGTAAGGGAATTTTAAAACTGTATTAAGTTTTTAATATACATATCATAAATTTCACCCGTTTTAAGTGTACCATTAAATTATTTTTAGTAAGTTCACAGAGTTGTGTGACCATCATATTTCAGTTAAAGGGATTTTTCTTGTATTTCTAATAGGTGTGCATAATTAGTAATTTTTAGAGTTGAATTCCTCCTTTACTACTGACTTCTCCAAAAAAGAAGAGGCAAAATATAAAATGTCAAAATAATTATAACGGTAGTTAAAAGGTTTTCCAAAGAACGAAAAGGATAGCAAGTAAATATACTTTCTTATAGAGGGAGTGAAGACTGATAGAGATTGAAGGACCTGTTTTCACTTTGTATAAGTGTGCTTATTTGCAAAAAGGCTTTACTCTTTTATCCCCACCTGCCCTCTCTCTCCCTGACCTTGCTGATCCTCTCAACATATTTAGCTTAAAGGAATAAAGAGTTTTAATTCTGGAGCCATTAACATTCCTAATTCAGTTCTTAAAAGTAAATGAAATTGGGCTTGATAAACATGAAAAAAATGAATTCAAGAAGTAAATAGGAACATGAAATCAGAAAAAAAATGACAGTGGAATTGTTTGCCACTTCAAAGATCAACATGTAATAACCAATTGTTGTAGCTGTGGAAAATATATGGTATGTACCAAATAAAAACCGATTTCCTGGGAAAAACCACAGTAATTTACTACCTTTAAACATCTTATGCCACCACAGAGAGAGCAGATCTGGAAATGCCAGGTAAATAGGGATGAGATTTGAAATATTCCAAAATTTTATCCTACCCAAACACATTTTGCTTTATAGAAATAGAAATAGAACACATACCTTTGTTTCACCATTAGTAAGCTAGTGCTGAAATAAATATGAAAATATGGGAAGAGGAGGGTAACATGCCAAAACCCTTCCATGTCAGGAAAAAAATAAAACCCAAAGGTATATTTTTCACATAACAAGATCACAGGGTGTTATGAAATGAGACACTAGTTATTTTTTTGAATAAGAAAATTAGAAAGGTTATGTTTGTCCATAGTGAAATTATTAACTTAGTGTCAAAAAACTGAAACCGTCATCTCTTTCTTCTTAGTCTACTGCTTATTACTTTAATTTCTGCTTTTATGGGAAGCAATATAGTAGAGGCTCTGGAATCAAAGTGTTTGGTTTCCAATCCTGGGTCACCACCTAACTAATCTTGGGTAAGCACTTAACCTTTCTGGGTCTCATCTGGAAAGTGGAGGAACTAATAGAACTTATTTCATATTGAAATACTATATGTAAAATGCTTCATATAGTGCCTGACAGATAGTAAGCGTTCAATAAACATTAGCTATTTGTTATGCAGTGTAAATAAAGTTTTCAAATAATAACATGAGAGACAGGAATGTGACGAAAAATTTTAGAACACAGAGTTAAAGAAGCTGAGTTTGTTTCCAGTGGTGATGACCTACCTGCCCACAAGAACATGCTGCTGGCAGAGGATCTTCTTCATTCCTCTCCAGAAGAGGAGAAGAGGAAACACAAGAAGAAGCACCTGGTGCAGAGTCTCAAATCCTATTTCATGGAGGTGAAATGCCTAGGATGCTATAAAATCACCACCATCTTTAGCCGTGCACAAACAGTTCCGTGTGTTGGCGGCTGCACTGTTCTCTGCCAGCCTAGAGAAGGAAAAGCAAGGCTTACAGAAGGGTGCTCCTTTAGATGGAAGCAGTGCTAAAAGCACCCTGAATCAAGATGAGTGGGAAACCATCCCAATAAACACATTTTGGATACAAAAAAAAAAAAGATTGAATTTGTATGTGGTGGCAGGGAAGAGATAAAAGGGCACAGGGCAGAAGGAGAAAGTATGAGTCAGGAAACAGACTAGGACTGAGTGAGTTAGAGCAGGATAACCAGAAGGAAACTGGATCATAGGAGAATTTTAAAAAAATAATGGACCAAAATCTCTGTAGAGATCGGGGCTGTTATGAAACTGTGAGCCTTTGAGTCTTAGTAGGAATAGGCTTCAAAGATTCGTGACCCAGTGAGAGAGTGAGTGAGCCAGCTTTATATCCTTGTCTGCCCAAGAAAAGAGCTGAAATCTGACATGTAGGTAGAAATAGCAAGGGATTAAGAAGTTTGAATGAGCTTTTTTCTGGGAAAGTAGGCAAAAGAGAGACTGAGAGTTGCACAGAAGGAATAAGGCAAAGACATTGGAACTAAGAAACATTCTAAGGCAAATCTTCCTATATCCTTAGTTATAAAAAGCGAATTATTTACACTCCTAAAGAGCTGGCATAAGTATGATGGGGTTTGTAACACCCTACTGAAGAGTTAAAGAGCAGAAAATTTGGTCCTGGAACAGTTTCAGGTAGTAGCTGCAAATGTACATGTTTACCACTGGTTAACAAAGGCTTTTGTCCAAGTGTTTAAGGCAATTTCTCACCACTTTTTCCAGAGAGATTTGTTTGAAGTGACCATAATAGTGATAGTACCCCTAAGAGTTCTATAGACCCCATCTAGAATCTTTCTTCTGAGATAACAGTGCTCCATCTGCATAATTTCTCTCTAAAAAAGAATTGGAAACTGGAAGCATTACAATATGTTTTTGGGTCCTCTGAGCATCCATACAAGTAGAATTACTTCACTGAGAACTGGAAGGGACTTTAGAAGTCCCTTATTTTTAAAAGGACAAACTGAGGCTCAGCAGAGTACACTGACTTGCCTGTTACCTCAGTGACCAATAGCAGAGCTGACATTAGAATTGCAATGGCCTAATTCGTAGCATAGGGCTCTTTCCACTGTGATGGATTATTAACTTGTATAGTTTAACTGATCATTTTAAAAAAGAAAAAAAAATCCCTGATCCACCAGTTCCAGAAACTGCTAGATTGGCTGTAGAAAAATTACTGGAAGAGCTTCTTAAAGATACTTATCCTGGGCTCCATTTCCAGAGATTCTGATTCAGAATGACACGGATTTGGAATCTGTATTTGTTGAGAAGTACCCAGTTACTCTTAATCATCCATGCCTAAAAATATTCTCTAGTCCAACTTTTGGTTAGATGCACCAATATCATCAATAATATTCATGCAGTTTCTGCTTGAATGCCTCCAATATAAAGTCTATTATATAAACAAGTCCTTGAAAGCATGATACCTATGCAGAGAAGAGCGAAGACTGGGTTTAGGTTTTGTTTTAAACTTCAGAAAACTCTAATCAAGTTGAGGTAGACAAATAAGAACTCTCCCTATATGAACACTCTAACCACTGGAGTGTTTTGTGAGATAATAAAATTATGCATTGTTTCAGCCTGCGTGAGTTAGGCATCATTATATGCAGCTGAAAATATCCTAATTATCGATACATAAAAAATACTGTGAGATTCAGTCTACAAACACTTTGTTTTAAAATGAATATAATGTGACCAGCAAGCATTAAAGATGGTGGCGTGAGGTGAGATAAAGGCTTCCTCCTAAAACCACATATAATATGAAAATATCATTAATACAACTAATCCGGAAAGAGAATTGCACCAGACTGCACACACCTGGAGAAAAGAGCAGACCTCACGGAACAGGGTAACGTACAAAGCTGTGGCCCGGCAGGACCCAAGCCCTACCCCCACTCCAGCTCACCGGTGGGAGGAAGAGAAACGGAGCAGGGAGGGAGTGGAAGGCCTGGGACTGCTGAAAACCTAACTTCAGAGATCTGCTCTGGGAGCACAAACCTACATTTCATGGTGCTTTCATGATACGCTCGTGATTAGGGCATTGGAAAGGTAAGACAGGCAGAATTCCTGGAGAGACTGAGATTCCAGCCACTTGAGGAAAGCAGAGATCCATATCCGGCTGCTCTGAGACAAAAGAAAAGCAGGCAGGCTGAGAGACTTCCTAACAAGGAGGCCCTTAGCAAGACGGCTGCTAAAGGGGCAGGGATCGCACAGAGCTTATTGCTCAGGAGAAAGGACAGGTAGATAAAATTGTCTGGGTGCACTCTGCCCAGCAGATTGGGAGCTTTCATGATTCCCAGCTGCTCAAGCTCCCTGGCTGGCTACACAGCTCCAAGGACCCCCTTGGTGATAGGCAGCCTACTGCGCCTTTCTCCCGGCCAGGCCCACTTGGCTCGCAAACCAGCAAATTCTTCCTTGGTGTCAGAGCAGCCAGAGGGAAGATCTGTCCACAGCAACTACAAACGCAAAGCGTAGAGGCTTATACCTGTGTGCTCAGCCCAGTGGTTCAGGCAGTAGAGACAGGCATAGTGCCCGGGAAGCAGGAAACAGCTCTTCCCTCCCTCCAGGCACCAATACCACTCCCCTGCGACCCCAGACATTGCTTCAGGGGCTGAGCAGCTCCAGAGAGTAAAGCTTCTGGACACTAGAGGGTGCCGTTTACAAATATGAAATGCCAAAGGAACCTGGTTCAGAGTAAAATAAATATAACTCCGGAGAAAGATGACATGGACCTCTTGACTCTTCCTGAAAGGGATTTCAAAATAAAAACCATTAACATGCTAATGGAGGTATGGAAAGATATTCAAGAACTCAGGAATGAATTCCAGTCAGAGATCCAATCGTCAAACAGCACAATGGAGAGAATTAAAAGCATATTGGATACGGTGGAGGAGATGATAAATAAAATAGAAACTAGAGAAGAGGAATACAAAGATGCTGAGGCACCTAGAGAACAAAGGGTATCTAAGAATGAAAGAATATTGAGAGAACTGTGTGACCAATCCAAATAGAACAAATTCACATTATAGGGATACCAGAAGAAGAAGAAGAGAGAGAGAAAGGGATAGAAAGTGTCTTTGAGGAGGTAATTGCTGAAAACGTCCCCAGTCTGGAGAAGGAGATAGTCTCTCAGGCCATGGAGGTGCACAAATCTCCCAATACAAGGGACCCAAGGAAGACAACACCAAGACATATAGTAATTAAAATGGCAAAGATCAAGGATAAGGACAGACTATTGAAAGCAGCAAGAGAGAGAAATAAGATCACATACAAAGGAAAGCCCATCAGGCTAACATCAGACTTCTCAGCAGAAACCATACAGGCATGATGTATTTAATGCAATGAAACAGAAGGGCCTTGAACAAAGAGTACATTATCTGGCAAGATTATCACTTAAATTTGAAGGAGGGATTAAACAATTTTCAGATAAGCAAAGCTGAGAGAATTTACCTCCCACAAACCATCCCTACAGTCTATTCTGGAGGGACTGCTATAGATGGAAGTGTTTCTAAGGTTTAATAGCTGTCATCAGAGGTAATAAAACCACAGTAAAGAAAGTAGAACAGCTAAATACTAAGCAAATGCAAAATTAAATTAACTATCCCCAAAGTCAATCAACAGATAGAAAAAGAGTACAGAATATGATATCTAATATATAAAGAATGGAAGAGGAAGGAAAAGGAGGAGAAAAAGGAAATAACCTTCAGATTGTATTTTTAATAGCATAATAAGTGAGTTAAGTTAGAATCTTAGATAGTAAGGAATTAACTGTAAACCTTTGGTAACCACGAATCTAAAGGCTGCAATGGCAATAAGTACATATGTATCGATAATCACCCTAAATGTAAATGGAATGAATGCACCAATCAAAAGACATAGAGTCAATGAATGGATAAAAAAACAAGACCCATCTATATGCTGCCTACAAGAGACTCACTTTAAACCCAAAGACATACCCAGACTAAAAGTGAAGGGATGGAAAAAGATATTTCATGCAACTAAAAGAAAGAAAAAAGCAGGAGTTGCAGTAGTTGTATCAGACAAAATAGACTTCAAAGTAAAGAAAGTCACAAGAGACAAAGAAGGGCATTACAAAATGATAAAGGAGTCAATCCAACAAGAGGATATAACCATTATAAATATCTATGCTCCCAACCCAGGACCACCTACATATGTAAAACAAATACTAACAGAATTAAAATGGGAAATAGAATGCAATGCATTCATTCTAGGGGACTTCAACACTCCACTCACTCTGAAGGACAGATCAACCAGACAGAAAATAAGTAAGGACACAGAGGCACTGAACAACACACTAGAACATATGGACCTAAGAGACATCTACAGAACTCTACACCCAAAAGCAGCAGAATACACATTCTTCTCAAGTGCACATGAAACATTTCCAAGAATGGATGATATGCTAGGCCACAAAAAGAGCGTCAGTAAATTCAAAAAGATTGAAATTGTACCAGCCAATTTCTCAGACCACAAAGGTATGAAACTAGAAATAAATTACGCAAAGAAAATGAAAAATCCCACAAACACATGGAGGCTTCACAACATGTTCCTAAATAACCAATGGATCAATGACCAAATAAAAACAGAGATCAAGCAATATATGGACACAAATGACAACAATAATTCAACACCGCAAAATCTGTGGGATACGTACAAGGCCGTGCTAAGAGGAAAATATATTGCAAAACAAGACTACCTCAGGAAAGAAGAACAATCCCATATAAGCAGTCTAAAATCACAATTAATGAAACTAGAAAAAGAACAACAAATGAGGCCCAAAGTCAGCAGAAGGAGGGACATAATAAAGATTAGAGCAGAAATAAATAAAATCTAGAAGAATGAAACAATAGAAAGAATCAATGAAAGCAACAGCTGGTTCTTAGAGAAAATAAGCAAAATAGATAAACCCCTAGCCAGACTTGTCAAGAAAAAAAGAGTCTACACACATAATCAGAAATGAGAAAGGAAAAATGACTACAGAAACC